ATCCCTTACTGGGCCCAAGTTTAGTAAAGTCCATTTCTAAATCTTCAAAGGGAGCCAATTCGCATTGTTGTATTCCCATTGGCCCAGTTAGCCCTTGTTTTGGATTGTTTTCTGCACAGAGCAAACAGCGTTGGGAAACTGATACGCACAGAGTAGGGAGACGAGAAATTAGGAAATATCGCTTTAAGAGGGCCTCCAAAGCCGTTTTTCCCATATGTGTGGCTTTGTGTTGTTGTTGGACTAGATGATAAGCTAGTCATTTTGGGATGAAAACCCTTCCATCCGTCATGATTCACCATCCGTCCTTTCCTTTCTTTCCTCGTTCAGCCTGTGCTCACTTGTTTTCGTCGTGGCTATATTCTGGGGCAGTGGGTAGCTCTGGCGCTGCCGTAACTTTAATTACTGAGTGTTCCCAGGCGGCTGCTTCTCTTGTCTTTTGATCAGCTAGCCTATTCCCCTGGCTCACAGGGTCATTTCCTCTTTGGTGTCCCTTACAGTGAATAATGGCCACTTCCTTTGGATCCCATACTGCCTCCAGTAACTGTAAAATTTCTTCTTTGTTTTTGATTTCTTCTCCCCCAGCAGTCAAAATTCCTCTTTCCTTATAGATGGCTCCATGTACATGCAAGGTTGCAAATACATATTTGGAATCGGTGTGTATATTGACTCATTTTCCTTTCCCTTCCCTTAGTGCCTGGACCAGTGCCCAGATCTCTGTTCGCTGAGCAGACCATCCTGGGGGAAGGGACTCTGCCTTTATTACCTCTCGGGTTGTTGTTACAGCGTAACCTGCTCGCCGTTGTCCATCTTGCATGCCGTCTGTGAAAATTTCCAGGTCTGGGTTTTGCAGGGGCTTGTCGGTTAGATCAGGCCTGCTTGCATACACCTCTTTGATGATTTTTTCGCTGTCGTGGTCAGGCTGCCCTTCCCCCTCAGGCAAATATGTGGCTGGGTTTAAGGTTCTCACAGTCTCTAGACGGACTCTTGGATTTTTACATAGAAGCCCCTGGTAGTGGGTCATTCTTGTGTTAATTACCCATTTGTAACCTGGGCCGTTTATCAGGGCCACCACAGAATGGGGCACTTTTACATTTAAAGTCTGTCCCAGTGTGAGTTTGTCTGCCTTGTTGACCAGGAGGGCTGTGGCAGCGAGGGCCTGTAAACAGGGTGCCCATCCTGATGCTACAGGGCCCAGTCTTTTAGACAAATAGGCCACAAGTCGCTGCCATGTCCCCACATTCTGAGTCAGGACTCCAAGAGCAGTTTGGTCTCTTTCATGTACAAACAGATTAAGCTCTCATGTTACATCTGGTAAGCCTAGTGCTGGGACTTGGGTTAGCAGTTCCTTTAATTGCCTAAAGGCATTTTCTTGTTTAGTTTCCCATTTGAGGGTTTCTTTTCCTGATCCAGCAGTTGCTTCATAGAGGGGCTTGGCTATTTTTGAAAACCCGGGGATCCAGATCTGGCAAAACCCAGCTGCACCCAGGAACTCTCACAGTTTTCTTTTTGCTTCCGGTCTGGGTATGGCGCAAATAACTTGTTTTTGTTCTGATCCTAGGGCTTGGTGTCCCTCTGAGATAATAAATCCCAAGTATTTGGCTGTCTTTTTGGCCTGGACCAGCTGAGCTGTTAATATCTTGTATTGTCCGGGTTCATTTGAGCAAAACCAAATCCATGGGGGTAGAGTCTGGGCGATATTTAGCCAGGAGTCAATGTAAGGGAATTGATCTGGGTGGCCTGGGGTTCCAGTGATTATTTGATAGACTGCTCACACTGTTGCTAGGTCCAGAGTTCCTCCTGAGGGCCACCTGACTCCAAAGGCTGGCCATTTAACCTCACATAAAGTGTGGAGCCTGCCAGGGGTCATTTGAATTTCACAGTTTCCTGAGAACCCCTTTTTGAAATTCTTAATCATGCAGTCTAGAGTGGTGGGTTTTGACTTAGAGCCTCCCATTCTTTTTAGATGTTTAAGGATAATAGTTCTGTTGCTTTAGATGTTTGGGAAGGTAGCCTTTATATCTTTTTCCTTCACTCTTTAAAACACCGGAGTTCCCAGAGAGACTGCTCTTTTGCTTGGTCTATGAATTCTTTGAAGGCTAATTTGGTCTGGGACTCTGGGTTCCAGTCACAGCTGATGTCTCTGGATCTCAAGGCCTCAAGCAGTTCCAGGGACTTTCTTCATTAAATCCTCTCTATATCCTGAACTAATGTATCAAGGGCGTGGGACTGACGACAGATGGTAAAGCAAATGGACTAGAAAAGGGACCTCCGAGGCCAGGTGAGCCCGGTCCTGAAGGAATTTGTCTTCTAATCTTGAGTCCTGGGGGTCTGAGGCTAGGCAAAAGGGGCACTACTAGGGTCAGTTCAGTAGGGGAACAATAAGTCTCGGGTGTTCTGTGACAGAATCAGGTAGGAGACTTTCTCAAAGAAATAGCATCTTAGC